TATTGTTCATGTTACCTATACTGGAACCACGCACTCAAGAAGTTTAAATAAGAATTTGCTATTTGCCAAAAAATGGTTGAGAACAGTGTGTGAATGGAGAACTGTGGGATTTGTAAGTCCGTGATCAGACAAATAATAAAACGAAACATTCAGCTTGCTCTCCAGACTAAGAGCTTTTGGCCTACCTACCTACAAACAGGGCTTTCAAAATAAGTCCACGGCCTCCAGACATCCAGCGGGTGCTTACTGTTACTTTGTTTAGTACTTGAAATATCAATTCTGCTCTCCTTCCTTCACTCTAAGCTTTCAAACAAATTTATTTTTCCACAACCTGGTTGACTTTATAGCCTGGGTTTTTTTTTTCGAAAACGGTGTACTATTTAGTAAAAGTGATTTAGTTATTTGCCATCAATTTTTGAAGTTATCTTGTTGAAGAATGAAAGTAGTGATATGTTATAATTTGGTTTCGGAGCTCAGTTGTGTTGCTAACTTGCTATCTAATCAATATACAGTAGTTAATTTGGATGACTTTAAGACTCCCTAGACCCCCCTCCCCCCAACAGCCGGCTACTTTATCAAGTCTATCAACACAGCCCTATACAAAGAGTCGTAAGATCCGTTAAACAAGTTCTTTAGTAATCGTTTCTCTTTGTTTTCCACTGCGAAAAACTAGTTTAACACAATACCATGCATTTTGTTTCGTATAGGAACAGTATAATAAGTACGACAAAGACCGAAGTGGTACACTGGACATGTATGAATTAAATGATGTCTTGGATGCTTTGGGTGAGTGAAGAACGACCCACAACGTGGTACCCAGGGTATTTTGTGGGACAAGATACTACTGATATCTGAAACCTTTGATCAAGAATGATACGATTATGGACAAAATCACTCGGACAAACACATTAAATACAAAGAGTGTTGCACAATCTCTAAAATACAGTATCCTCCGAAATACCCTGGTACAATGTTGGTGAACACTCGAGGCATGACCATAACTTTGTTGACATTTGAGACAGCAACATTGTACCAGTTGTCGGGCTCTAACCGCGAGTTCATGTATATAATTGTATACACAAAGTTGATGCCATGATGTCCAAAATAATAAAATATTTTAACCATCTATTCTTGATCTTCTCGTGTCTAGGTATCAAAATGAGCACACGTTGTTTGACTGCCATCACTTGCCGTTATTCCAACAAGAAAGGAACTGTAGACTTTGATGACTTCCTGCAGATTTACACACGAGTTGTTGGCCTCATTGGTAAGTGCTTTGGCGAGTGAGTCACAATGCGCCTTACTTTGGTAATTAAGAGGAAATGTTGAGCATTAAACTGTTACCCCGACATATTAGTATCTTCCCATGTCTGTTATGAATGCCGCATTGTGCCATAATGAGCCTGACAAAACCTTTTGGAACATTTATATGCGGGCTATAACTGAACAATAACATTAATCTTGTAGAAACATTCAACAAGCATTGCAGACGTGGAAATGAGGCTTCGTTTAAGTTGGACGATGTAAGTTTTGTTTTGATTTTTTTTTAACTGAACTGTTCCTATAGTCGTATAGAGGTCAAGTAAAAGCATTGGTTAATAATTAGGTTCTAGAAGTCTTCTAGAAGAAAAAATCTAAAATTTTCTATCGGTATAACTAAAAAACGTTTTTGATTTTGCAGTTCATTGAAAGCGCTGTTGGTCTGTAAACATGACAGAAGCATGGGACGTAAGTACTTTAGGCATTTCACAAATAGTTACCACCAACACAATTCACAACATTTGCATGCTTTTTGATGTTATGTAAGTGTTTGTATAAAGTACTCAGGTGAATAAGATGCTTGTGTGATGTTACACTGAGTGTAAATCCACACCGAGCAAGCTTGAAAAATATGCCTGGCCACGGTGGGAATCGAACCTACGACCTTTGGAATACCAGCCCAAGCTAGTATTTGGGCTAGTATTCCAAAGGTCGTAGGTTCGATTTCCACCGTGGCCAGGCATATTTTTCAAGCTTGTCCGGTGTGGATTTACACTCGAGAGTAACATCACACAAGCATCTTTGTATAAAGTTTAGAATATGGAACAAAGTTATAAATAAAGCAATCCTCAATACTTCCTATTTTTGTTTCAGGTGATTCATCTTTATTTTCATTCATATTATGACGACACTGAATATGAAATAATGGTATCTGTTTACTATTAATGACTGATACGCCAATTCTATTACTATTAGTTATTACTGTTAGTATTCTTAACTTTTCCGACGGTTAATTAAATATGGATATTCATATGTACTTGAAGTAGGTAGTATTTTTTCTTGGAATAAAGTTCTTAAACGTGACATTGTTTTGCAGTTTTTCTTTATTTATATGAGACGACGGTCTTAGCTGTACGGAGCGGAATTTCTCTTTGTCTTGTGATTTCTCGTGTGGAACTAAGTAGAAAAGACAAAGAGAAATTCCGCTCCGCGCGGAAAATTCCGCCTAGCGGAAAACGGCCATTACATAATCTAACAAACCCGCCTATAATTTAACAAAAAAAAGTTACTTCAGCTACAAACTATTCAGTTTTCTATTCTTGGGATGTTTACAACAAGCATATCGTATGATGCAACAACATCCTCAAATCCATTCTTTGCCTCGTCTAGAAGTTTCACGACACTTTCTTCCCCTGGTTTCAACACTTCGTCCCGTCCCTTGTAGCGTTGGCTGAAATGCGTAAGAATAAGCTTCTTTGCTTGGATTGATCTAGCAAAACTTGCAGCCATACCTAAACAAAAAAGCCAAAATGATATTTTAAAAATTTCAATTCCTGGGGGCTAAAAGTTGCATTCTTCGCAATTGTTCCAGGCGATGTATATATAAAATTTGCGTCAAATATTCAAAAACCCATCTAGAGTTATATTAACAAGAAATGTTACAATTATTTGTAATTCACGAGAAAAATAAACGAAATCAAGACCGTGAAGGAGCTTTGTATATCTGATACAAAATCCTGCTGGTTTTTCAACACTTCATGTCATCATACGTATAGTCGAAATTTAGTGTCCATTGTGAGTATTATAGAGGTTCATAAGAGGTTATTTTTAAGCCATTGAGCACCAGCGTTCTCCCCAGCCTTGAGGAGTCTCCTCTCGCATTAGAATAAAATAATTTTGTTCGGACATGGTCGCACAGGAAACTACGTTATTGCATGAGAGTTTTCTCAACTCTCATGCTCCGGTGAAAGGGGAACAAGAACTGCATGAGAGTTGACTGGATATTCCTGCGCTGGTAGCAAAAACTCATCAACGCTCATCAAAATTTGAACCAGTTTAAAGTTGAGGAGAGTCGATGTCCAATAAGTGGCAAACGCGATTGAGAGTTGCACCTCTTATCAACTCTCATCTTCGTTTTGACCGAGGCTTAAGAACCTAAGTTGTCAAATATTTTGTTCCAGCAAATTGACGTCAAACTGCTGTGATGTCCTCAGTACCTGGGGTCGAGTGACCATTCTCTATACATTTCTCTTGATGTCCATTCTCATTTGTCGCTTCATGTACAAGTACATCAGCATTCATAGCCAAATCTGTGATCTGTTGGGAATCGCAGGTATCTCCCAGAACCACCACTTTCCGCCCGGGGCATGGTGGGCCAAGTACGTCCTCTGGTGTAATCTGTGAACCATCCTCAGTATAAATACTCTCTCCACTTTTAATCTTTGCATACAAAGGCCCTGGAGGAATACCTTTTGACTTTAATAAGGCTGCATTTAATTTACCAGGTTGCTCTGCTTCTTGAATGACATAACCAAAGCAAATCACCCTGTGTTTTAATAAGGCAGCCGAAACTGTCACAGAGTTACTGTCTAAAACATTCCAGGTGTTTTTATCAGTTGGGAATATTTGTACAATTTGGATGTGGTTTTCTACTGCATCTCTGGTTGTTGAAACAATTTTGCACAGCTTGCTGTCCATTCCATCTACAATGTTTCATACAGTATAAATGTTTTAAACAGTGTATATATATTGTCAGGGCAAATATCAATATATTGTTAGCCCTCTAACCAACCAAGCAACAACGAGAATCGCAGGGCTACAGGTTCGATTCCTGTCAGAGAGCCTATAGCTCTAATACATGTCTAAAAAACTCACACTATATTATATTTGTCAGAGCAGGGGAGAGGCAATTCCCCAAAGCAGGGCACTTTTACCTAGCTTCCATATAGAAAATGCAAAAATTCAGTTATAGATGAAGGCCAGAGTATGATGTGCTAATTGGGTTGAGACTAATTTGAACCACTAAAATATCAATTCCTGAATTAAATTCAGAATACCAATTCTGAATTTAATTTTTGGATGAAAATATTGCTTTGAATAAGAAAACCTCTTTCTGCAAATTAGGCCAAACAGCACTAGCTTACTCCTGCTAATCACGGACCAATTGCTGTGCCATGCATGAATGCTAGGGGGGGGGGGGTGCAACCAACAGACCCTTCCGAAAAGTACTTAGCCTTGGCTATAGAGCCTTGTTTCTGTGTTTGAGACATTGGCTTTAGTGCCCTTTATCTTGTTACTGATTACAAAATTATAAACAGGTATCCTTACTGATATAACTGCAGGTTGTCATAAATATGTCACCTGTACCTACCTACCATTGACAACAATTTTAGCAAAATTTGAAGGTGTGGCCTGTAGGCACAGAATAGATACAAACAGAAGGTCGACTTCCTGGTTTTTCCTATGATTTTGGCAGATGCCATGGTCCTAGCCAGTGTACATATGAGAGACATTCACCCCCTGATAATATTCAAAATGGCGGACGTCACCAGGATCATGGCGTCAGCATTTTGATGACAAATCATGGCGTGGCAGCGGTTACGCTTTTTTGGTGTCGACCTTCTGTGTGTCTTTATTCTGTGGCCGTAGCTTGCCTGAAATGACATGTAACCTCGGCAAGGTAGCCTGAAAAGCTGGCACCAGCTATGCATGCCATTAGCAAGGCTGAAGCAAAAACACAAACCAAAAACATCAGTCTACCTGATTGACAAAGTTCATGTACAACACAAGGGAAAATAAGCTGAGAACCAGACAAAGTCAACGTAGTGGTCAAATACTGCCCAAGGCCCTCAGGGCCATACACATGAATTGCGGACCGTCCCTCGGAACTGTTCAAACTGATCGTACATAATAAACCCGGCAAACCAAAAACATGGTCACCATGTAGATGTGTTATAAATATTTTGTCCAGTTTTCCAGGTCGAATGGCACTTTTCATGAGCTGCGTTTGTGTCCCCTCTCCACAGTCAAACATCCAGCACGAACCAGTGGGTAGGCGGACTACAAGGCTTGAGGCCCCTCGGGTTGGACTTGGGTTGGCTGCACCCGTTCCTAAAAAATGGATCTCCATGTTTTTAAGTTACACAAATAAATGATAGGAAAGTCTAAGAGAATTAAATTAATCTGATATTTATTTCAATTTTCTGAATTTTTTAAAAATTATCTGCAGGTAATAATATTGAATATGAGCTTCCACTTTCAAAATTTCCTTCATTATTTAACTTCTTTCACAATGGGCAAAATATTTTACCGAAAGCACTGTATAAAGCTGAAATTTTCTTTCTTACTCGCTGTAAACCAACACACTCTAATTTCATTAGCGATTATTATTTCTGATTAAAAGTCAAATTAAGACTTAAAAATGAGTATGCACATTCTATACCCTTTATTGAAATTTATTTTCATTGGCAGTCGCAAATATTGTTAAAAATTGACAACCATACGATTTAAACGCATGGAAATCATTGCACAGTAATTACAATAGCCTATTTCTCCACTGCTATAATAGAAAGACATAGAGAAAAAATATAAATTTATAAAATTAGAAATACTGTAGCAAGAAATAAACTACTTTGCCATAAAAATATTCATTATGTAAGTGGAAACACTAACACGTTGTTTTGGCGTTTGCAATATGGCGGACAAATCTGAGTTACCAAATTTGACTTTTGGTGAAATAAAGAAGCTGAAAGTAATTGAATTAAAAACAAGGTTATCGAATCTTGGCCTTCCAGTTTCAGGTATGTATGCTAGTGCGTTCTGTCTCATTTTTTAACTTGTCAAATGTGAATTTATTGTTGAAATTTCGATAGAATTCATCACGTCCGAATGACAATTCACAATTGAACCCAGAAATGTATTTTTATAGGACTGAAGGCTGACCTGATCGCAAGATTAGCATCATTTTTGGAATCCAGAGTAAGTGTTTATTCCATGATGTATACTAAATTGTATAAGTTTTATAAATTATCGTGTTCTCTGGATGATAATTTTATTAAATGTTTATGTTTTTTTATAGGCAATACAGGCAGCCTTTGATGAAGTCAACATTGAAGAAGGTAGGTGTAATTAAGAAATCATCATATTCTGGCGTTAGACAGAGTAAAATGATAAAGTAGGGTGCATTGCAGCTCAATCCAGGTTGCATTCCTTGTAAACCTCACACCAAAGATGATGTGAGGCTGTGTTGGTGTGCCTGACTGGAAAGTTTGGAAATTGCACGGGGGAGATTTTGAAAATTTAATAGTAAATATATAGAAAGCATCAAAAGTGCGCTGAGGATTTCTCCCCCGCATGATACAAACTTTCCACACTGGTTGGTGTGTACCAACAGAGGTCAAGTTGAACGCCAGCCCAGGCAGGGTACGAATTAACGGCTCGCACTTCGCAATTTGCGAAGCATCTGTACATTTTTGCGAAGCGAAATTGCTTGGCAAACAGGAAAATGCGAAGTGAAAATTTTGAAAATATATTGCATAAACATAACGAACATGAATATGAGAGAGCTGAACGCGCTGTTTTTGCTTTTAGTTTGTTTGTCTGCTGTTTATATTGTTTTGAAGAGGCTTTGATTTTTGTTTTGTAGTCAGGTTGCAGTCATACAATCCCAATTTATGCTGTAATCAATCACGGTTAATATTAAGGGCGGCTAAATACTACAAACCGGATGTTTACTTTACGCCTAAAAGTAAAATGGTTTGCAGTTTGTCAAAATGCCAGTAATTGGTGCACGGGCGTAGCCTAGGAATGTAATCGCATTTCTGAATGTTTTGACAGTTCACATGAAAACACGACACATATATTTCGGTCTTTCGATCTTATTCATTCAATTTTTTCCTATTGTAAGTAATATTTAAATCAGTTTAGATTTTACTTAGACTTCCTTCGGTACGCGCAGATATGAGAAACGTTTACATAAAGGTTAAACAGGGTTTTTTTGTGAACATTGGTGGCCTTGTTGCTAGTAATTATTTTTGAAAATTATTTGTGAACACACAAATTAAGTATTGCTTGTTGCTTAATTTATAACTAACATTTTTAACAAAATGACCTGTCTTGCATTTTAATATGCTAGCTGAATATAGTAATCACCAGTACAGCAAGACACTGCAGAGTACAACGAAAAGTTTGTTGTCTCAAGCGGGATTTGAACTCGTTCGAGACAATGAATTTCGTTGTACTCTGCAATGTCAGAATAATATGTAACTAGTTTTTCATACGGTATTTCTGAGGATGGTTTTGAAATAGGCAGTATTTATTTACCAAAATTTTTGCGAAGCTGTTTTGACACCTTAATTCGTACCCTGCCAGGCCGTTGCAGGCACCACCTGAATTACTTTTCATTTAGCCATTGGGTTAAAAATATAAACTTGAAAGGTATATAACTGCTAGCCTGACATTTTAATAACATGAAGAAACCACTGGCAACTACTTAGAGAATTAGAGGCCAGTGGCCAGACAACTATACAGCAGGAAAAGTTATGACTGTACTTTTGGTCTTGAACAGTACTGATGTGTGCCAACGTTGACGTGAGTGTGCCAGCAAACCAAAACTCAAGTTGTACCGAAGATTCTCTGATGCAGATGGGAACTTAATGGGCAAATAGTCTGATTAACCCATCGAGTGCCAGTGCTCTCCTGTTGACAAGTAAAATCATCTGGCATCAACAGATGATTACATTCATCTGGCATTAGAGTAAAATAATATAGTAGGGTGCATTTGGGTGCAATGCAACTTAATGGGTTCAATCAGTTTTAAAAATATCATTTTACAGGGCTCGAAATAACATTTCATGTTATGCCGGTCATGGTGACCGGTTAAATGCGATTTCTAACCGGTCAACTCCCACAAGACCCCATGAATACTCGCCTCCCTGCAATGAATTGCTCACTCAATGTATTAAAAGCAACAACCAAATTTCAGCTCTCATCTTCAATTGTGACTGTCGATTCTGTTGATGCTGAGATGCACGCAGTATAATGATTTCACAATTAAATTTTTAAATATAAATTTCGTCATATCTTAATTTGGTCTGTTATAAGTTATCTGACCAGCAGTTGGCATAAGAAATTCAACAACTTAAATTCGAATGAAAAGTTTAATACGAAAATCAATTTAGCACAAAAATCAATCTTGTTCCAAAATGTGGCTGGTCACTATGACTGGCGTCTTACAAATTTGACCGGCCATATTAAAAATTTGGCCGGTGGCCGGCTGTTATTTTGAGCCCAGGTTTATCAGTTAACCGCCTTACCCTAACCTTGCTTTGTACAACTTAGAATCTAAGTTAGCTGATGATGGTGGTAGTGATAAAGATATCCTTGTTGAGTCACATGGCAAAGACATACTACAGCCAGATGAACTGGGTGGGCCAAGTCATGTGCCTGAAGTATATGAGCACATCCATGCAGTTGTCAGTGAAATTGTTACTGAAGTAACTGCTGAGAAGCTAGAGGGTGATACCCCAATGAATACAAGTGTTGTAACAGACCCTTCGGCAGAAATGGTAGGCGAAGTTATCGAGGATGTTATTGATGTTGACACTGTGGAGGAAGCACAGAAAGATATGATGCGAGTTGAGCAAACTCTGAAAGGTAAAGAAAATATTGATGTAGCAGATGAGAGAGAAAGACAACCAGAAGAGAAATTGCCAGAAGTTCAGCAGGAAGACACCGAAAATGTGATTCAAGAAGAGAGAGGGGTTGAGGTTCAACCTGATAGAGGTGTTGACAGTCAGCCAGATGAAGTAGGCATTGAGGTTCAACCTGAGGAAACCAGAGTTGAACCTGATCAAATTGATTCAAGGGAAACAGCACCAGGTACACAAACTGTTGAACAAATACCTGAAGCTGTTGAAGAACAAATCATTGTTGAACAACAACAAGTTGAAATGACTGAAGAGATTGGGTCAGATATCGGAGCTGGTGGCTCAGTGGAACCAAAATTTGATCAAGGAAAGGAAGCTTATGAACCACAACCAATACATGTACTTCAAAGTGTGCCCGAAGAGATTGTTTTACCAGCAGTGGTTGAGCCTGGTGTAGTGGGTGAAGAAATTTTTGAAACTGGTAAAAGTAGATCCCATGTTGAAGATATGGAAACTGAGACAACAGAAGAAAATGTGTCTGAGATTTCAACCCAAGTTGCTCCCCAAAAGCCAGCAATCATTTTTGAAACTCGTGACATTTTGGAAGACAAGCAATCTCAATCATCTCATGTTCCTCCTGAGAAACCATTGCAACCACCCCTTGAGCCACACCCTACCCCACCACTACTTACCATCACCCCACCTACCCCCCACCAGGTACCCACTCACCCACCATTTGAAGCCGCCACTCACCCACAATCCCAGTCTCAGCAGATGTCTGAAACCCCCTCTCCCAAGGCATCCATTGTGCCCCCGCACCTTCAAGGACCCTCTCACCGAAGATCACATATTCCCTCCCACTCACCTTTGGAAACTGCCAATGAAACAGAACCTACCACCATGGACAAAACTAGAACTCCTCCAAGGAGTGCACCACAGATTGAACCACCCAGAGGTGCCTCCCCAAGAGAACCCACACCCCAAGAAGATATACCCCTAAAACGTACACCTCCCAGGGGCATTTCCCCCAAACAAAAGCCCCCATCACCTAGAAAGACCGTACCCCCACCCCCGGACCCCCTAGCCGAAGCAAAGGCAAAAGCAAGAAGTGTCGTGGAAATGCGAGAGAGAAGATTGAATGAAGAGAGTCAAGCTAGGGCAAGAGGTGATGATTCTGGATACGATGTGGATCATTATGAACAAGAAAGGATCCCAGCAGCAGAACCTCGCCAGGTAATGTCCTAGTACAAACGAGAACATTTTCCTTTACAAGTTTTCCTGAACAACTTTTTATTTTTTGATCATCAGGAAAAAAGGAAGAAAAAGAAGAAGAAGCGAAAGAAGAGAAATAATGAACAAACTAATGTAAGTAAGGCAGGCTGCGATAATTGAAGATTTTTATTTTTTAGTCATAGCTGACGCAGACTGGTACACCAATGATTATTGCTGGGTACTTGTGTTAGTACAAACTCAATACTCAATGTGTATATAGTCTTTAAAGTAAAGTACATATAATACAGTGAAAATTACATAAAGTCAAACTACGAGTTAGAACAAGAAGTGCAATTGCGTATACTGTACAAACAATTGACTCCAACATTTCTTTGTGCTGTCA